TTTTTTTTGGCTTGAGTCATTAAAAAAGTATGTCACTGAGTGATAATAACATCCAGTCTTCTGTTGTGAGATATTTTGGTCAATAATATTAAATCTGACATAAGATGCCATTCAAAAGAAAGGAACACCCCCAGAAAACCATATCAACTGTTTGATGTCAGTATAAACTTTAAGATAAGATATTAAAGAAAATGATAGCCTCCCGACAGTGATATGTTACACAGTCAAAAAAATCACTACAGTAAATCATGAAAAGTCAGTAATTACGGGTATGACCTCCAGCAGCCGCTTGCAGCGCCCTCATCCTACATGGCATATCCTGTGACACGTTTTTTAGAGTTTGGGTGGGGATATCATTCCTCGCAGTGATATTTGCCTGTCGCAGTTCATCACTATTTACCGGCCGAGGACCATAGCTATTGATTCTGTGAGTTAATTCCGCCCACAGATTTTCAATTGGGTTCATATCTGGAGAGTTTGCAGGCCAGGGCAGTTGCTGAAACCATTGGTTTTGAAGAAAAACAGTGATTCTGCGGCCTCGATGTGGGGTTGCGCAGTCGTCTTGGTACACAAAGTTGTTCCTGAAGATGAATCTTACCAATCTAAGCATTGTTTGCTGTAGAATGTCTCTGTAGGAATCCTGGATGAGGTTGCCTCCTAGAAAAAACAACTGGTTCTGGGCACCGACATGAAATACTCCCCAAACAGAGACGTTACCACCCCCTGCTTGCACCCTAGGCAGTACACAATCATTGTTTTATGCCCCTCGTACACATAGGTGGACACGGATTCGACGATCAACCCTAAAAAATCCAAATCTGGCCTTATCACTGAAAACAACGTGATTCCAGTGTTTTGGCTGCAAACGCACGTGGTCCCCAGCCCTTTGCAGACGTCGCTGTATATGACCTGCTGTTAACAGTGGTTTCCCTACTGGCCTTCGTGCAAAATAACCGGCTTGCAGAAATCTCTTGTTCACGTGGGACCTTGAAACGGGCGTTTGAATGACATTCTGCCTCTGTTTTCTGAGGACACTGGTTGTCTTTGTACGACCAGCACGGCGTCCACTAAGGAGAAGGCGATCCTGTCTTCTTGGTGTGATACGCGGACAACCTGGTCGAGGTATGGGAGTAGGTGCCCCTGTAGCAGCATTTCTTTGGAGGACTTCACAAACGGTTCCTGATAAATGTTGAATTACCTGGCAATGGCTGTCCGTTTCTGGCCATTTTCTCTGAGAGCAAGCATCCCATAGTAAGCTGCGTTGCTTTGCTGTCGTACCATATCTTCACTAAGGTACCTGTCAAGTTTCAGAGCGATCCCTTTGTTGCTTCTCTAAACACGCTCCAAAGATTTACCAAACCCATGCGTTTTTATACAAGGGCAGAAATTGCCGAAAAGACCACCCCTCACATTTCTGACCACAGAACATACAACTGCATGCATCAATTGTTTCGAGAGTTGTGTGGTAATTAGGTAACACATCTGGCTACACATGGAGTGACACTTCAGCTTTGGATTTAAAGTAGTTAGAGAGAAATTAAATATTTTGTAGAAAATTTATTAGCAAAAAAATAATATTCCATATTAAGTGGTAACCCTGTATATATATATATTTTTTTTTATATGGGTTATTGTCTGATTAATTGGTATATTTCTAAGTTTAAGATATTTTCACTACTTACATGTAAATATTATTGTTTTAAAACCACAGCAGGCAGTACTTTTGTGCTCCCTTACGGCTAAGTCCCACAAAAATTGTCATGCACATGGTTAAACAACTATTTTTCATATGCTGTAAATGTGTAAAAATATTGTTGGAAAATATCCCAAATAAATGTTTTTGTACCAACAAGAAAGAAAGTATGTTTGATAAGCTCGACAAAAAGAACACAGTTCGTTTCACAACCGCACAACTGTTTTTCTGATTAGGAAAATTGCTCTGAGCGAGTCAAAACAACGTGAGAAAAACTTTTTTGTTTTTAATTGTTGCTTATTTTTCTTATTTATATAGTGTTTTAAAATATATAATTTATGCATGAAAATATCCAAAATGATGCCACTGCATCGGATAAAGTGAAATATTCTCCACACAAACCACTAAAAATCATGTCTTTCCCAGCGAAAATGAAAAGGCAAAGTGTTTATCAAATTACAATCAAAATGAAAAAATTAACCCGGAAATATCTCACCAATAAAAAAGTACTGAGATGAAAATAGAAATAAATATAAAGGTTTTCCAAAAGAATAAAATGACAATCAAACACATTCTAAGAAATATTCTGGTACATAAGATCCATAGAATAACATTGGAACGCGTCCCTTGGGTCACATTGACTTTAAGTCATGCATTTATTTATCTTTCCTTGATAAAACCAAGGCACCACCTTTCACGCCAAGTAAGATGATCCTTAGAAGTACAAATGTCGAAATATCGATCATGCTTTTGTATTCATCCTGTCTACATGTAATACAGCATTAAGGTACATATGTCCGAATATCATGTTTCTTTTTACATAGTATCTAATAAGTCATTAATTGACACACGTGGTCTTGCTCACATGGCAATTGAAAATTCAGGGTTTTGTCCGCCTTGCAACATTACGTATTGTCACTGAAACTGAGAATTGAGGTGGCTTCCACGAAGGCTATTTGTAGCTTTTCTTTTATCTTTACTTTGATAGCCAGCAAAATATTTTACATGGAATTTAATCGTCCAAGCTATGACATACATTGATGTTTCTAATCAACAAAATTTCGTCAATATTTCGGGAAAAATATCAGTCAAATCTAGCTGAGGCTTAAAAATAGATAACGCCGCGTTTTAGCTTTTAATGCGTGTAGCTACATGTACCTACAGTTATATTTAAACCATTTCTCTTGCTAAAGCAATCACCGAGCATAGAAAAACACGAGCACCTGCGTATTTGATTCAATTATTATCACGACAATTTAAACAATATAACGCGTGGAACCCAAACAAGGTCTTGAGAATTAACATCTGATGACATTAATTGCTAAACAAAGTCTACGTGACAGCCCGAACCGTATCGAAACACAAAGGAATGGTGATACGTCTGTCGATATTTGGAATGGAAAGTGAAAAACGCCTGAACTTTATATGCATGTTGCTATAGGTAGAGTAATGAAACAAAATTTTCAGAACGTGGAGGTCGTTATTTGTTCTTGCGGACAGTGTGGAAAAACAGACAGATGGCCACTGTGGTGCACACAATGTTTTGGACATTTAATACTCGTGTAACGACAACACATATGGCAATACAAGCAAAACAAACGGTTACTACAAATTGTAGTACGGTTACTACAAATTTTAGTACAAGAATTCGCAATATCCTTCATAGCCGCAATCAGTGATATGATATGCAGTATAACAGCATATATTTTTCCTTAAATTGGTTTTATAGGCCTGTCTCAATCATGAACAAAAACGTTGAGTACGGTGTTCAACAAGAGATCAAAGACATGCAAATGAATAAATAAACTATCAAGGAAATATATACATAGTCAGGTATTCTAACAAACACCCAAAAGACAAGTGACATAATGAAAATCTTCTTTTGCAAATTCCCAAACCAACAATTCAAGACTATGCACACCAATAATAAAAAAGAAAACCATGCTGATTTGAATACATACATGGAGATGCTACATATATGTGACAGTGGTGACATGCGGTTTATTCACTTTTAGGGGCGTTTTTCGACTTTCTATCGGTATATTTGTCAAAGAGGCTCAATACATTGCCTCCCGCTCGCGATATATGCCTTGAACACGTCTCGCCGACCCTGAAGGTGTCACGGCATATATCACTCGGATGATAGTGTATTATGTCACCCAAAATCAGACCTTTTTTCTTTACACTAACACCCCTCAATTGCGGTATCTGAACGATCCATTGCTATGTCTCATATTTTTTATTTTCGCACAAAAATGGATGTTTGTGAAACATTCGTCAGTTTTACACATTCAATTGGGATCAAAAGCGAATTTTATGTTTTTTTTTCTGATCAATACAACCATCTGATATTACTTCTTGAACATATGCCCCGAGAAAAATCATAAATCACTTATTGCGCATTTGTTTGACAATTCAATGCAGGGGTGAAAAAAATCAACACTTATTGTGCAATGGCGGTACGTCAGATTAAAGAAATCGATACAAAAACCATTAAGTTCACGCCCTTTCATTAATGAAAAAATACATAACGCTTTTGGACTTTATTTGATTTGCCATAAAGGTAGTATTTAAAAACGTCTCCGAGATTAGGGTTATACAGCAATGGAAAGAGGTTCTCTCGCTTACATGCCTTGAAATAATTCTCCCTCTAAAGGCCTTTAGTATTATTAACGCATACAGATTTGTTGAAAGGAACGCAACGCTGCTCCAAAGCTTCGATGATATTTGACAAGATAATGCATATACATCTACAGGCCAGTAATCAAAATGATGATATATAACCCGACCACATGCCCCAAACGGTCTGCCCTAGTACTACCTTTAGGCTTGAACTAGTACTTTGTTTAAATTTTTGGATGCACTCTTCAAATTATAATATTTCCTTCATATTATAAAATCCCGCGTAAAAGGTCCTAAAATATTGTGTTGTTTTCATTCAAAAAGCATGTGATTGTTTTAACTACCTTCCCCACGCTGATTTTTATCCACACGTTTTGTATAATTGTTCAGCGTAATTTATGATAGCTAAAATATTACTGCTGTGTCCTTAAAGGTACATACGAACCGAGCATCGGTGGAGCGTGGATTCCCTGCCCACCTACTTCCCTGCCCCATTTGACATATAGCTTAGAATGCCAGCAGAAAAATCCGTTCAAACATCATTTTCGGGTAAAATTAAACAATGCCTTTTGGTAATTCTCTTAGTTATACTACTTGAAACTATATGCTGGCATTTGGTTGGTTTTTGTGACAAAAAATTGACTTTGTATGCATCTTTAAACTAGTCACGTCATTGTTCGACTTTGTACAGTAGTTTTATTAATATATACGAGTTAATAGATGTGTTATTCATATTTTGGTAACTCCGCTGTTTTTACTACCAAGAAAGGTTCACATTTTTCTTGTCAATAACGCAAACTCCTTGTCCTATAACAGGGTCCTACACACTGTCTATGGGGAGAGGTCATTGCTTATACTGAGTAATCAATGATTACGTAACCAAAGCACTCAATGTCTAGGTCGTTCGATCCAGATATTACGAAATAAGTAGTAATTTGTTTGCCGATAGAGCACAAGGCAGCTTAGATACAGGCTGGGTTTAGCAAACCAATACTTTGAAATGACGACATGATTCCGTAGCCGCTTTCCCCAATTCCCTCAAAATATCTTTAGATCAGTATAAATACACAATTAATGTCCTCAAATTTTTTGCCTAATGCGTTTGCAGGAATGAGGTAACAATAAATACATGTTTGACCTTGTGTTTTATCTTTTGCAGATATTCACCCTAGTGATAGTTGGAATAAAGAAAGTAGAATGTCGTAAGTATGGACAAACTATTGTGTGTGTGTGTGTGTGTGTGTGTGTG